GTCGTATTTGATGGGTTTGATAGGTTTCAGAATTGGTTCGCCAGGCTTTGTCAACGCGGAACACGTCCCCGGGGTTTTGAGCCAGTTTTCGCAGTTTTGGCAGTCAACCACACGCGCCACGGAGGCCTACCGAGCTCTGGGCACGGGCGATAATGTACCGACGAGCCTCCTGCGTGCCCCTGAGAAGGAATTGCGATAAAAGACTCGCTGCCGCGAGAGAAAGAAACGCCGAAGCATGAAAAGTAACCAACTCTTATTTGTACATGTATGGTTGCTCAAATTTGTTTCTGGTGGGTCGAGGATACGACCGAAAACTAACGCATCTTCATGGAATTCCTCCTGCGACCGGACGAAGGGCACTTCAATGCGACACCACCGGGCCAAGTGAAACGCTGCTGCTGTAGACAAGTCTTAGCACAGGCACCCGCAGTCATGAACGTGTTTTCTCTGTTGTTTTGTTTCGGATACACTCGGTCGATGCACCCACCCCCGAAACAGAGACAAACAATTGACGCGTACACATGCCGTAGGCCAAGTGCGACCAAACGCATCATACGTACGAGGCGTCGGATCTTGAAACTAATTGCCTTCTGCTATCAGCATTTATGCAAGGGGATCAAGGAGTGCACGTCCGCACGGCAGCACCAGCAGGAGCAAGTACACCAAGTAGTAGCTGATTGGTGATGGATCAGAGCCTTTTCTTGTTCACACCATCAAACAACAACAGTCGAACTCGTTCCTCCCGCGTTGCTACACAGCAGGGAGTCCTGCATACACATGTAACGTGGCAATGGTGACCTCCGTGTGATGGTTTAGGCCCCAACCACATTTATCTAACCACTCCTGCTTCTCTGCTTCCGGCCCTTCGAATATGTGTTTGTACAGCAGCAGCAAATGAGCAACATCATCCACACATTACAGACGACAGTGTACCGCTGTATCCATCTCAGCAAACAATCCCACCACGGCGAGACCGGCACATATACGACAATGAGCAGTGTCCAAAAGAGCGTGTGATACCGGACCGTCGGTGCGGGCCCCAACATCCATGAGACACGACCTTGCGTCAACGTCTGCCATGGGTTTGTTGCTGCCCCGAACTGCGCGAACGACTTTGATTCGCCCAATTCTTCCTTCCAGTTGTCCAGCTGTCGATGTCCACAGCAAATATTTCGTTCTTTTTCTCGGTGGTCGTGATACATTTCTTACCTAACAGTATAGGAAAAAATGGTATACACAGACAAGAGCTCAGGACGCGGGGGACTACCGCCCCCCCCGTCCTTCGTTTGCTCCGCCGCTCTCCGTGTAAGGTGGACACGAACGTTGATGAGAAATATCCAATGCATACCAAGTGGGACGCTCCTTCCTGGTTGTGGAAAGATGTGAATATCTGCCGCAGACAGACGTAGATGGAGTTGTTGTGATGTATCCCGAAAAATGATGCGATGATGACTTTGACGCGCTCCTCACAAAAAAAACACCGATGATGGAACGACGAGTGAACAGAAAGGTATTCGCCGACCTTCAAGAAACAAATATGTCTTTGAATCTGAAGCATCAACAACAACTTGACAGCATTGACTGGTGATGGGTGGACAAAGCTTCTCACGCATTGAAGCACCCACAGATTCATATCAATCGCTCTGCGTGTCCGAGATAGACATGAGTATTGGTGTAGGTGGAAGAAACACTACACTCAGCAGTGCCTGACGGGGTGCATGCAGGCTGGATGGAAGACACGCACCACAAAACATTAAAGCCCTCTACGCAACACAACAGATGTTGGTTCAGAGCGGTTGGTTCGGGGCGGAACAACGTAGTGTCTTGTCCAATCAGCGTCGCCAATCTTAGTTTTGATCGTATCAGAACAACAGCACAGACAGACAAAAAGATGTAGGTGCGAACGACTCCGTTTTTGGCGATGCGGGCAGCTCGCCTTGCACGGTGCGCCTGAGTCTGCGACGGCGGAGTCTTCCGGACAGAGGGCGTCATCCGGGCTCCGCGAAGTGGGAGGCCGAACGGGGTCCGGTGGGAGGCTGGCCGGGCCCGTTAACTTTTTCGTCTAGATAAATAAGAGCAGGGCTACTGTAACTCCCCCGCTGCTGCGCTGTGAGTGAAGAATACGTGCACCTCTATGTGGTAGCCAAGCCTAGGTACCCCCCCGAGAGGGCCCAATTACATACGGTACATAGATGTGGTTGGGGCCTAAACCATCACACAGAGGTCACCATTGCCACTGTACCACGTGTATGCAGGACTCTCTGCTGTGTAGCAGCGCGGGAAGGACTTTGACTGTTGTTTGGCGTGAACGAAAAAAAAATCTCTTTCTTCACCAATCGCTAGTCTGCTGTACTTGCCGCTGCTGGTGCTGCCGTGTGGACGTGCACTTCTTGCTTCCCTCGCTTGTATTCTGCTAGCAGAACACAATTGGTTTCAAGAATCGCTCCCGACGCTTCGTACGTACGATGAGATTGGCCGCTCTTGGCCTGCAGCAATGTGTACGCATCGTTGTCTGTCTCTGTTTCAGGGGTGGGTGCATCGACCGAATGTATATCCGGAACAACACCAATACATGAACATACGATTATCTACGCGACGGACGTACAGTAATGTGGACCCACATCGGTTCCAAAAATCACCCTTCTTTCGTACGGATGTCGTCATTGCCTCTATTCGTTCTGCCTATCAAACCGCCGCACCCACCCAACGCATACTGGCCAAACGCCCCACCGGGGGGCGGGGGGGCAATCGTTCCCCCCTAGTTTCTACTAGAGAAACAAACAAGCGAGGTACCGCCATGGTATGTACTGCTTTTCATGGCCTCGAAATGCACAACATGCACACATCGCCAACGAACACCCAAACAAGTCACCGTCTGTTCATGCCAGTATGGTTTGCTGCTGTTGTACGGCAGTTCAGTTCAATGCTGTGCATACGTCGGTGCTACCGTGAACAGCAAGCAGTACAGCATAAGGGGTGACCGTTGCGGAAATTTTAAAAATACGGCTGTACGCATATGCATACGAATCTATGTACATACAGTCGATGTCCCGGTATAGTGCCGGTTGAATAGTGCCAAAGTCCGGTATAGTGCCGGTAAATTTTCTTGACACAGACACAGGCCTGAATAGTGCCAAGCCGGCACTATTGAGGGCTGCCCGCTATAGTGCTGGTTCAGGCACTATCGAACCCCTCAATAGTGCCCGTTCACACCCGATGCACCGCCTTTTTTCGCCTAAGCCTTCCACACCAATATGATTTGTTTGCCTTCGAGCTACAAGTACGCGTGGCGTCTTCAAATGTCATGGTTTGCCGATCGACAAATATTCCACCGCAGCAACTTCAGCCAACAGGTTGGGATTTCAGTAGTGAGGCGGGCGAAAGGAAGATGGTGGTAGTGACGAAGGATGTGGAAACAATACCGAAGGATAGCAGTGATGATGGAGGAGGAAAATATGGCGTTGAAGGGAACAAGAGTTTCGAGCGAGATGACCTTCCTCACAACAAACACCGCCGCCGCGGGGCAGAGTCTAGAGATAACGCCCGAAAAATAGTCGAAATATTAGTGACCAGAGCAGCAGTAGTGGAAAATACAGGGATAAGTGATGAAGACACCCGAACGTGTGCTCAAAGAACACAGTAGCCTTGGTAGCCACGTGCGATTCTCCTCTGTTGCGCTACCGTTTCTGTCTTTTACCGGAGAATGGCTCAGCCTCCTCCATGACACCCTCTCACGGGGTCCCAGATCAGGGCCCTGAGAAACATGTAGTTTCTGTTTTCAACCGCGTTGAGGCTGACGCCTTTTGGTTGGCCAGTCATGTTTCTTGCTTCTTTTGAAAGCTTTGGGTCTTCTCTCTAGCTTTCTATCGAAGGAGCGGGGAGTTTTTTATCTTCTTCACCCCTTCCGGTTGCA